TTCGTAGGTCAAACATAGCACTATTCGAACCAGAGTGGTACGGTAACCCTATTCTGGAGGTCATGTTACTTGACCATCACGAACATACGAACTATGAAGAAGCTATGATGAGCCCAGATTCCGATAAATGGCTTGAGGCCATGAAATCTGAGATAGGATCCATTTATGGGAACAAAGTGTGGACTTTGGTGGATCTGCCTGATGAACGGCGACCCGTAGAGAATAAATGGATCTTCAAGAAGAAAACTGACGCTGATGGTAATGTTATTGTCTATAAAGCTCGACTTGTTGCAAAAGGTTTTCGACAAGTTCAAGGAGTTGACTACGATGAGACTTTCTCACCCGTAACGAAGCTTAAGTCTGTCCGAACCATGTTAGCAATTGCCGCATTTTATGAAATTTGGCAAATGGATGTCAAAACTGCAATCCTTAATGGATTTCTTAAAGAAGAGTTGTGTATGATGCAACCAGAAGGTTATTTCAATCCTAAAGGTGCTAACAAAGTGTGCAAGCTCCAGCGATCCATTTATGGACTGGTGCAAGCATCTCGGAGTTGGAATATACGCTTTGATGAGGTGATCAAAGCATATGGTTTTATACCGACTTTTGGAGAAGCCTGTATTTACAAGAAAGTGAGTGGGAGCTCTATAACATTTCTAATATTATATGTGGATGACATATTGTTGATTCGAAATGGTGTAGAATTTCTGAATAGCATAAAAGGATACTTGAATAAGAGTTTTTCAATGAAAGACCTCGGTGAAGCTGCTTATATATTGGGCATCAAGATCTATAGAGATAGATCAAGACACTTGATAGGACTTTCACAAAGCACATACCTTGATAAAGTTTTGAAGAAGTTCAAAATGGATCAGTGAAAGAAAGGGTTCTTGCCTATATTACAAGGTGTGAAGTTGAGTCAGACTCGATGCCCGACCACTGCAAAAGATAGAGAGAAAATGAAAGTCATTCCCTATGCCTCAGCCATAGGTTCTATCATGTATGCTATGCTGTGTACCAGACCTGATGTGTGCCTTGCTATTAGTTTAGCAGGAAGGTACCTAAGTAATCCAGGAGTGGATCACTGGACATCGGTCAAGAACATCCTGAAGTACCTAAAAAGACTAGGGATACGTTTCTCGTTTATGGAGGTGACAAAGAGCTTGTCATAAGTGGTTACGTTGATGCTAGCTTTGACACTGATCCGGATGACTCTAAGTCGCAAACCGGATACGTATTTTTATTGAATGGTGGAGCTGTCAGTTGGTGCAGTTCCAAGCAGAGCGTCGTGGCGAGATCTACGTGTGAAGCAGAGTACATAGTTGCTTCGGAAGCAGCAAATGAAGGAGTATGGATGAAGGACTTCATATCCGATCTAGGTGTAATACCTAGTGCATCAGGTCCAATGAAATCTTTTGTGACAATACTGGAGCAATTGCCTTGGCGAAGGAATCCAGATTTCACAAAAAAAACACATCAAGAGACGCTTCAACTCCATCCGAGATTTGGTCAAGGAGGGAGACATAGAGATTTGCAAAATACATAGGGATCCGAATGTTGCAGACACGTTGACTAAGCCTCTTCCACAAGCAAAACATGATCAGCACCAAGACTCCATGGGTGTTAGATTCATTACTATGTAATCTAGATTATTGACTCTAGTGCAAGTGGGAGACTGAAGGAAATATGCCCTAGAGGCAATAATGAAGTTATTATTTTATATTCATGCTAGAATTTTATTAACCGGAAACTTGATACATGTGTGAATACATAGAAAAAACACCGTGTCCCTAGTATGCATGTGTGAATACATGGGTGTTGACTAGCTCGTTGATCAAAGATGGTTAAGTTTCCTAGCCATGGACATGAGTTGTCATTTGATAAACGGGATCACATCATTAGTGGAATGATGTGATGGACAAGACCCATCCGTTAGCTTAGCATAATGATCTTTCAGTTTTATTGCTACTGCTTTCTTCATGTCAAATATATATTCCTACGACTATGATATTATGCAACTCCTAGACACCGGAGGAATGCCTTGTGTGCTATCAAACGTCACAACGTAACTGGGTGATTATAAAGAAGCTCTACAAGTATCTCCGAAGGTGTTTGTTGGGTTGGCATAGATCGAGATTAGGATTTGTCACTCCGAGTATCGGAGAGGTATCTCTGGGACCTCTCGGTAATGCACATCATATGAAGCCTTGCAAGCAATGTGACTAATGAGTTAGTTGCGGAATAATGCACTAAGGAACGACTAAAGAGGCTTGCCGGTAACGAGATTGAACTAGGTATGAAGATACTGACGATCGAATCTCGGGCAAGTAACATACCATGACAAAGGGAATAACATATGTTGACATTATGGTTCGACCGATAAAGATCTTTGTAGAATATGAGCATCTAGGTTCCGCTATTGGTTATTGACCGGAGAGGTGTCTCGGTCATGTCTACATAGTTCTCGAACCTGTAGGGTCCGCATGTTTAACGTTCGATGACGATATGTATTATGAGAGTTATGTGTTTTGGTGACCGAAGGTTGTTCGGAGTCCCAGATGAGATCACGGAAATGACGAGGAGTCTCGAAATGGTCGAGAGGTAAAGATTGATATATTGGAAGGTTATATTCGGACACCGGAATGGTTTCGGAGTGTTTCGGGTATTTTCGGAGTACCGAGGGGTTACCGGAACCCCCGGGGGGAAGTAATGGGCCTCATGGGCCATAGGGGAGAGGCAAGGCAGGCCACAAGGAGGTGCCCCCCCCATGGGGAGTCCGAATTGGACTAGGGGAGGGGGCGCGACCCCCCTTTCTTTCTCCCTCTCCCTCTCTTTCCCCCTCCGTTGGAAAGGAAGGGCGGGCGGCTAGAACTAGGAGTCCTAGTAGGATTCCCCCCACTTGGGCGCGCCCTAGGCCGGCCCTTCTCCCCTCTCCTCCTTTATATACGGGGCGGGGGGCACCTCAAGGCACATCAATTGTCTTAGCCGTGTACGGCGCCCCTTTACTCCTCCGGTCATATTGTCGTAGTGCTTAGGCGAAGCCCTGCGCGGATCACATCACCATCACCGTCACCATGTCGTCGTGCTGATGGAACTCATCTACTCCTTCGTACCTCTATTGGATCAAGAGTTTGAGGGACGTCATCGAGCTGAACGTGTGCAGAACTCGGAGGTGTCGTACATTCGGTGCTTGATCGGTTGAATCGAGAAGACGTTCGACTACATCAACTGCGTTAAGCTAACGCTTCCGCTTTTGGTCTACGAGGGTACGTGGACACACTCTCCCCCTCTCGTTGCTATGCATCTCCTAGATAGATCTTGCGTGAGCGTAGGAAATTTTTTGAAATTGCATGTTACGTTTCCCAACAGTGTACAGAGCACATGTAAGCTACCAAGAGATTGTAATGTCCTGCCTACAAGCCAAGCCTCTCGGTTTATATACCAGGGAAGGGTCCTAGGGGCTAGGGTACAAGATCCTAGTCGTCTATGTATGGGGAGGCATAGTCCTCCACAAATCCAACGTCTTGGGAGTATACATCAAGTCTTCTATATCTTCCTTGTAATCGCCATGGCTGTCTGAATTGGCCTAGGATGTCTGACCCATTCGGTCGGAAGTCAACATGGTGAGAGGCCCCTTAGCAATGACAGCGGAGCGGCGGTGGCTCATTCTGGTGACGGTAGTGGTTGTTCGGTGATCCAAGGACCTCGATGTAATTTCTATTATGTTGACAATGGGTCCATATTCTTTTTAAAAATAAAGGAACGGCGCAACCAAGATAGTTTAGTAGGGATGCAGGCGGTTGATGTCTGCATATGTCCGCGTGTGGATAATTACAACCGCAAAACTATTAAAGCAACATTGAATTAGTCTATGTCCTCCAATGCTCTATTGCAACTGTCACGACAGGAGGCCAGGTATCAAAGCACAACATAAATGGCTCAAGGTCATGAATCAACCTTGTGGTTGAATGGTTAGGAGGATAGTGGTATCACCAGGACACTGGAATACGTCGCGAATCAACCTTGTGGTTGAATGGTTAGGAGGATAGTGATATCCGCAGGCCACCAAAGTGGTTAGGAGAACAGTGATATCACCAACCCACCAGAATAGTCGTGAATCAACCTTGTGGTTGAATGGTTAGGAGGATAGTGGTATCCCCAGGCCGCCAGAGTTTAAGCCCTGACTTGACATTGATGTTCGCATTATTTCTGAATTTATTTCAGCCTTCGAGCAATGTTCATTCAATGAAAGTAGACACTCCGTGGGAGTAGAGTTCTCTGTGAGGTATAAATGCAGTTAATGGTTTAAGTATCATGCATTTTCTCCCCTCGTCAATTCGTCATTAAGGAAGAACACGACGCAAATTCCATCAAAATAGTAATACTACAAGAACTTTGACCGGGAAATGGAAGTCAGCTGCACAGATTTTGCCAAGCTAATCAGGTAGTCACATACAATATTATAAATACAAACCTACAGCTCATGCTTAGACTCGAGCCACATGCTACACGTGGAAAAGAGTAGCTCAGATGCCGACCAGCGGACAACTCACTTGTACAAGTTTTGCTCCCTGCGAAATACTGCTGTGATACCCCACACAGCAGCAGCATGCCCAAGGCTAGGCAATAAAATTTATATCCTACATTCTCGACCACAAGATAGAATCAATCGATCCAACCATAATACAGCAGCAATTGATCAACACGCGGCCATCATGTACTTTACACAAGCGGATGGTAAACTTTGTCAGCATGGCATCCCCTCCCAAGCGCTCAAATGATGTTTGAGGATGTGTGTCCCTGAAGCCCCCCTCCAGGTGGAGTCTCGACACCTTTTGTCACTGTAAATCATCATCAATGTACTAACAATCAAACTGAGCCATCCAAATATCACGACGTCTCATCAGAGGCCCATTGATTGTCATGGTCCATGACTTCACGCATTTACACCTTGCTCGAAACAGCAATCCCTAACACTCGAATCTATCACAACTCATTTCCTAACTGTTATCCATGTCCTCATCTTTCATTGCCAGGCTAGGGCCTTCGTCAAAGCCACCTCCAGGCGCAAGCTCGTTTAGATCTAGGAATGTTCTTCCAACACTTCCATTCTCCCTGCTGGGAGCATCCATCTTCTCTACAGACTCTGGCTGCAGTTGCAGCTGCTCCTCCTTTTGCTCTTTATTTGCTGCCACTGCATGGTCTTCAGCCATTTTATCGTTACCATTACTAACTTTTAGTTCCTCGGGGCCATCATCCTCTTCTTCCTGTTGCCCTTGACTTGATGTCGAGAGTTCCATACCATTTTCTGCATCAGAGTTGGCATCAGGGTCTGATGCATCTGATTTACCTGCCTTTCCCGCCTCTGCATCCGTATCTGAAAAATCATACTGCTGGTAGTTTATACGTGGACGAGAAGAACGCTTGCTGCGTCTGAGACCTGTTTGGATTTCATCAACAGATCTCAGCTTAGCACCTCGGACATTTTGACTTCGCAACTTTTTATGACGCTGGGGCTCCTCTATATCTTCGCTGGTGCCTGCAGAAAACTCCTCTTCCTCTTCTTCATCGTCATCTTCAACATCCTCTTCCAACCGGAACTCTTCATCCTCTTCAGAAGCACTTGATGTCTTCAGCAGTTTGCGAGTTCTCAAATATTCCTCATCATAAACCGCTTCTCCCATGATATCATCATCACTGTCAAAGTTCAGATCAATATCCGAGACAGCCTGAACAAAATCTTGTGTGTATCGCTGAGATCTTCTCCTGCGCCGGTTACTACAAATGAAAGCATTAACTATATTAGGCTCAAGTTTCATTGGGTTAACTGCTATATACCAAATGTTCAGTGAGACATGTACCTGCGATCAAGTGCTTCATTTTCTTGTTCCCCATCACTATCTTGGTAGTCATCCGACTTTGAAGAATTTCCATCATCTAATTCATTGGCTAGGGAGAGGCCATTTAACTTGCCGTTACTTGATGACTCTTGTCTCGGTATAAGCATCCTTCTATTGAGAGTAGTAACAAGCTCGGCAGAGTTTTCCCTTTTCCTGTCCAAGAATGTGTAGCATATAAGTATGCCAAAATATTCTTGTCTCTAAAACATGAATTCCCCTACCAAAGGAAATTTATGAAGCAATAAAGATGATCCACATACTTCGTTATTTTAATGGCTTCGTTTATTGAGCGGTCATAGTCATCTGCATCGTAAGAAAGGTCAAACCTTGTAATTAGAACAGATATTGAGTCGAGCAAACAAACGACAGCAGGGTAAAATGACAACAATATGACAGAACATATTTTAGGTGCCATAACGAACATGAGGAAACCAGTGCACAAGGGCATACAGGATCAATTTCCGCCACATGCTAGTTTCACTTTCCAACAAGTACCTACTACCTATTACTCTTGGAAAGCAATCAATTCTGATTCTTGAAGCTTACCAAATGAGGTTACTGACAACCCTCAGTAAAAATATAATCAGGTTAATCTGAGCCAGCCAACACAGATTCACTTTTAATTCTCATTCTCAGGAGCTGTCTCATTGTTATTACTTTGCTGCTGATAAGAAAACAAAGAGTCATACTAGGAGCATCTCCAACAGCAGCCCTAAAATAGGGCAGCTGCCCAAAAAACAGTTTTTAGGGCATTTTGACCCAAAAACGGTGCTCCAACAGCTGCCCTATATGTATCTTGTGCTGCAAAATTTTTTGGGCAGCCCAAAACTGCGACCACTTGTGCTGCAAATATAAAGGCGGCCTACCCGCTGCCGCAAAACAAATCCACCAACGCACGCACGTCAACTGCCAACCAGAAGTTTCATGTCGCCCTTCCGCCTCTCCTCCGCGACCACCACCGCCTCCTCTCCATCGATTTGGCCTTGAATCCGGCAGCTCCACAATGGATCCGGTCGGATTCGGCCTCAAGGGCTACCGCTGCTAGAGGGTGCCACCGAGGCTGTGCAAGAGAGAAAGAGAGGCCAGGCTTGATCCCGCGCCAGCCCTCGCGCCGGCGAGCGCCACAGCCCCGTCCTCCTTCGTCGCCGGCCCTCCTATCTGCCTCCGCTGCCATGCCTGAGCTCCGACCACGTCCTCCAGCACCGCCACAGCGGAAGCGCTCTACGCCCACTCCGAGCCACCGTGGCCGGGCATGCCCGGCTGGCTGTTAGGCGGCCGGGAAAAGAAGGTGAGCTGGCTGGCTGGATCCATGGACCCCCCCCCCCTCCCCAGGGGGGAATCCCATGGAGGCAGGCGGTGCCAGGCGACAGCTGAAGCGAGGCGGCCACATCCAGCGGGCCTTCCAATGGCAGTGCCCTTCACTGCCTCGGCCCTGCTGAAGACGGCGGAGCTAGGGCCCGAGGATTTGCTCGCCCGGCTGAGCGCTCCCGCCCGTACACATGTTCCTGAACGCGTTCATCCCACCGTCCTGCGACCTCGAATCCTCCCACGATAGGCTGCAGCGCCGGGCTCATCTCCATGGGTCCCGCCAGGAACCTGCTCGAAGTCACACCCACAGGCTCGTCCACATGGTGTCGATCGATCATCAAGTCTGCAATGTTTATGGCTGAACTGATGGTGTTCCTCAAGTACCTTCAATGTTATGCAGAGGTTCCAGTAGCAACTTCAACTCTGATATGCAGACCTTCCGGTTGTATACGCTTGTGGCTGTGTACGCTTGTTCCGCTTGAGGCTGTGTACGCTTCTAATTGTGTGCTTGTAGGTTTATTTTTGCTAATAGGAAACAGGTAGCACACAATCTGGTAAAAATTGTGGCTGTTCTCTGGACATGTATGAGGAATGCAGGCTGATCCGCCATTGTATTTGACATTGTGGTGAGCGATGCTGGCTCTGATTAATGCAGTTTATTTACATTTGCTGCAACTAGAGAATATGTTGTTTTCATATGCAGTTTTGTTACACATAATGTAGTCAAAAAGCTTTTATTTATCTGACATTATTTTGTGTCAATATGTATGTAATCGTGGAGAAGAAAAACATAGTTGGTGCCCTATTTTACATCATCTGTTGGAGCAATGGTGCCCTATATTAGGGCAGCTGATGGAGAAGAACAATTTTTGGTGCCCTAAAATCACTTTTAGGTGTCCTAAAAATGTTTTTCAGTGCCCTATTTTAGGGCAGCTGTTGGAGATGCTCTAAATTTACTAAGAAATACCTACACCATACACCTAGGGGTTCCATAAAGGACATGGGATGTAAGTGACAGAACAGTCAGTCAGTGGTGCAGGTTAATCGGTCATCTAATGTGAAGGAAATACCCTAGTTTAATAACTGAGCACCTATTACGGGCCTGTTTAGTACTGCTCCACTCCCAAAAATTTAGCTCCACAATGTCCCACTCCACAAAAAAACTAGAAACTGGATCAACTCCCTGTTTTTCATAAAGCTTTTTAGGGAGTGCTCCAAAAAACTCTTATTTAGAAGTCCTCATGGAGTTGGAGGGAAATTACCCACCACTGTCACCAGTAAGTTTTTC